GGGACCCCGGGCAAATATTGTTTTCAGGCTTCTGTCTACAGAAACTATTGGTGAAGATACGGAGAAAAGGGAACCTTGGGCACTGATGGTGGCAGTGTAAATTAGTGCAGACGCTCTGCAAAACATAGCATGGAGGTGCCACAGAAAATTTAAAAATAGAGCTACCATAGATCCATCAATCCCACTTCCAAGTGTATATCCAGAAGACATGAAAACAAGATCTTGGAGAGATATCTGCCCTCGCACATTCACTGAGGCATTACTAGCAATAACCAAGATACAGAAACAACCCACCCATTCATCATTCCAAGATATGGAAACATCCATCTGTCAACGGATGAATGGATAAAGAAAATGTGGTGTATGTATACAATGGAATATTATTCAGCCATGAGAAAGAAAGAAATCCTGCTACTTGCAACAATATGGATAGAACTTGAGGGCGTTATACTAAGTGAAATAAATCAGACAGAGAAACTATGATATCACTTATATGTGGACTCTAAAAAGGCTCATGGAAACAGAATCTAAAAGGAATTCATAGAAACTGAACAGATCGGTGGTGGCCAGGGGCTTGAGACATAGGGAGACGCTAGTCAAAGGCTACACACCTTCAGTTAGAAAGTTTGTTCTAATATACAGCATGGTGATTATGTTTAATAATATATTAATACTTGAAAAGTGCTGAGAGAGTAGATCTTAAATGTTCTCATGGCAGAAAAGGAAATGGTAATTATGTGACAGAATGGAGGTATTAGCTAATGCTGTGGTAGCAATCATTTTGCAATATACAAGCATATCAAAAATCAGTGCATTGTACACCTTAAACTTACACAAGGTTATATGTCAATTATATCTCAATAAAGCTAGAAAAAAAAAATACCATAGCAGCTAACGGGAACAATCCCCTTGCCAAGTTGCCTTCCTGGACCTGGAGTCCCAGAGTTCCAAGGCAATCCCATATGTGGGATGTGGGATGCCTCCTGGAGGCATCTGGTCCACTCGACAAGTGTGTGGTTGGGGAGAGGCAGAGGGTACAGGGTTGGAGAGAACCTCAAAGGAAAGAAATGGGACTCCAGGTTTGGGGCTCCAGACAACACTGCGGGCCCCAGCTGTCCCAAGCACTGAAGAGAGATTTAAAAATTTTTGAGCAAAGCACTCCAAGCTCTGGATCTGGGCAGGGACCCCACTTGCACAGGTCTAAGGGTGGAACTGGTGGCGGAGTTGCCTAGGAGACTCACGGTGGGTAAGCCAACTGTCCCTTATCTAATGGGGACAGGCACAAGATGACTCACCCAGGACACTGCTCTCCATGGCTTCAAGTCTGGGAGAAGGTGGGGAAAAAAGACAGACATGTGCTCACCGACCCACAGTGCCCAGGGAAGGATACAAATGCCAAGGAGGGGGAGGTTTTAGCCAAGTGTCGTGGGATGGAAGGACCAGGATATTGTGTGCAGGGGAGCGTTTGGGGCAGGCCTTCAAGAATGGATAGATTTTCATTCGAAAGGAGACGTGCACCCCAATATTCATAGCAGCACTATTTACAATAGCCAAGACATGGAAGCAACCTAAATGTCCATTGACAGGGGGCTTCCCTGGTGGCGCAGTGGTTGAGAATCTGCCTGCTAATGCAGGGGACACGGGTTCGTGCCCTTGGCTGGGAGGATCCCACATGCCGCAGAGCAACTAAGCCCGTGAGCCACAACTACTGAGCCTGCGCGTCTGGAGCCTGTGCTCCACAACAAGAGAGGCCGCGATAGTGAGAGGCCCGCGCACTGCGATGAAGAGTGGCCCCCACTTGCCACAACTAGAGAAAGCCCTCGCACAGAAATGAAGACCCACCACAGCCCAAAATAAATAAATAAATAAATAAATAAATGTAAATGACCATTGACAGATGAATGAATACAGACGATGTGGTATATATATGTATATTTATATACGTATATATTCTATTATTTCTCCATCATGTGGAGACATTATCTTTCCATGACTTACTGACTTATAAATCCCAGAATCTGACACTGGAGGAGCTGGGAAGAGCATAAGAGATCCAAACGATGTAGTCAAGCCCTCTTCCACTCACTCCAGTCTACAGATGGGAAAGGCTTTGTCTAAGCTGCCTCCAGAGCTTCCTCTCCTCACCTAAGACTTATCACCAGGTCCTCACTTTCTGACTTGGCCACAGTACCAGCGACTACCACACCCTGTATGCTCCACAATAGACTCTGTGCTAGGGGCGCTGCATGATAACTCTGGAAGGCATGTCAGCTTGCCTTTCACGCACTCAAGGAAACTGAACTTGCCTGAGATTACACAACTGCTCACTCTCCACTGGGATCTGAGCTCTGCTTGGGTGTCCACATGCTTCCACTGCATGATAAGTGTCGTTCAGATGGTACACGCAGCACAGCAGGTTTCTAGAAATCAGTCACTTTTTCTAGAGGCTGACTATACTACCCTTGTGTCTAACCCAAATCCCTCCTGAGCCAAGGGAAACCCATCCCCTTTTGGGTCCTTTTGATAAGGATCAGTGGTCAACGGTGACTCTGCCCTTACACACATAGGCTTCCATTCCACGCCCAGAAGGTGAGAGAGCCTGTAGCCATGAGGACACTGGGTTCTGCCTTCTCTCCCCTGGAGTCTGGAGACCCCTTCTCCACCCCTAGAAGCTGGCCAAACTGTCTGGTCTCTATCTGTTCCCTGAGGCACCAGATATGCTCACTCTCCTTCCCTGGGCCCCACTCACAGGGGCTTCACTCCTAAGCCGGGGCCTGTCCCAACAGCACGGGGGGGGAACCCAGCCAAGACAGAGGTTTGACAGTGTGGATTTTGGAGGCAGCCATGTGGGAACTGTTGCTCTGCCAGGTATTGGCTCTGGGGATTTGACCTCCCTGAGTCTGAGTTTGTGTCTCTGACCACAGGAAGCTGTTGTGATGGAGAAATGAAACAACATGTGTGACTGTGCCTTGGTCCAGGGCAGGGACCCAATGCTTCATATTCATTTCCCTTAATATGTGTCCCGACGGAAACCAAAGAAATTGAATGAAATGATAAAGTACCTAACACAGTTCCTGGTGCCAGCAGACACTCAACAAACAGAGCCTCCTCTCTTTCTGCCAGTGCCTCATTCTTCATTTTGGTTTTGGTTGTTTTTTTTTTTAATTTATTTATTTAATTTATTTATTTTTGGCTGCATCAGGTCTTCGTTGCAGTGCGCGGGCTTCTCATTGCAGTGGCTTCTCTCGTCGAGGAGCACGGGCTCTAGGCGTGCAGGCTCAGTAGTTGTGGCACACGGGCTCAGTAGCTGTGGCTCGCGGGCTCTAGAGTGCAGGCTCAGTAGTTGTGGCGCATGGGCTTAGTTGCTCCGCAACTAAGATCCACAGCACATGGGATCTTCCCGGACCAGGGCTTGAACCCGTGTCCCCTGCATTGGCAGGCGGATTCTTAACCACTGCGCCACCAGGGAAGCCCTTCATTTCGGTTTTTGATTTAGGACAATAGGGTGGAACTGTATGCCAACGACTGCAGCTTGTCTCAGAAGCTGGGGTGGGAGTGGGTGCAGCGGGCGAGGCTGGGCAGGTCGAGGCCAGGCCTCTGGGCTCCCTCAGGCCCCTTGCCCCACTGGGCTTCTGGACTTCTGGGCTTCTGGTCTCGGGGTGGCCCTGAGACAGCCAGGCTCAAAGCATGTGAGGAGATGCCATCGGGGCATGGCATCTGCCAACCCATCTCCCCGCCGCACCTGTCCTCTGAGGAGCCTCCCAGATCTCCCTGCACAACTCGGGCTGCTCTTTAACTAACTAACATCCATTTCATTGATTCCATAATCTTGCATTCTTATTAAAAATAAAACCCGAGCAGCAGGGTCCCTGAGAAAAGGGAGCTCTAGGTTAGAGGGCAAATTCCTCCTTTCCTGGTTGAGTCTAAGGCTCCCAGGGAGACAGCCGGCAGTGGGGGAGCCCACACAAAAGCTCCCGCATCCAGGAGGGCTGGAGGGGCCGTGCCACTAAGGGGGATCCCATGTGGGGCAATGGCAGGGTTTCAGCCCCTTCCTTGGTGCCAGCTGTATCTTATGGCTTGTTTCCCTCTCCCTGCAGACAGCTCTGACAAAAGGCCTTTTTGCTTTAGCCCAGTATGCCCACATCATAAAACCACTGACCAACATCAAAATGGTCACCCAACTTGGGCCTTCAACACCTTTCAGTTTTCTGAGCAGCTGCCTCCAGCGCGGTGTACTACAGAAGAGGACGCAGCTGCATGGGGCCTCCAAGTGGCTGTCTGCTCAGCCCTGACGTTTGTTGGGGTCGCTCATGGTGAGGTCCACTGTAGCTATAACAGCCTTCTTCTAGAACGCAGCTGACCGAGGGTGTTCAGAGTACAAGTCTGGGAGTGGAAAGGACCCGGATTTGCATGCTGGCTCTGACGCGGGGGAACCCTCACCTTTTTGGTCTCAATTTTGTCATCTGTAAACTGGGGATTATAAGGTATGAGACAGGGAACCTACCTCATGGGCTGATGTGAAGGTAATGAGAGATACTGCATACAAAAGTGCCCAGCCCAGAGTGACTATGCCGGTGTGTTTTCTTTTATAATCGTGGATATGCTTACTAAGAGTAGTTTTCGAGCAGGACTTGGGGGAAAACATTCTTTTCCTTCTTGGACTCTAATCAGGAAGTTACTCTTTGGGCTAAAGGGAGATCAGTCCCCGAACCCCACCCCACCCTCCCACCTCTCACTGACATCACTTGGGTTCACACAGGAAGGAAGGCATAGCCTGGTGGTGGGCACCGGGCTGGGAGTGACAGCAGGGCACAGACCACAGCCACCTCTGGGGAAGCAGAGATACTGGTGAGGTTGATGCAATCAGTAACGGGTGCTAAGAAGAGAGAATGACCCCCTTCACCCAAGGTGAGGCCCAGGGTCATGACAGGACAGGGAGGGCTCATGAAACAGCACAGCCAATTGCGGGCAGGGCCGCGAAGGAAGGGAGATCTCAGCAGAGCAGATAAAGCAACAGAGGCGTTTCCCATGTGCAGGAAGGTAGTGGGATATCTTAGCTAAGAGCCCAGGTTCTGCACGCAGATGGCCGCCATCACGTCCCAGCTCCACCACCTACCAGCTGGACGACGTGGGGAACCAGTTCAGCCTCTGTTCTTTGTCGATGAAAAGAGGATAATAACAGAGCCTTTCTCGCCGGGCCGCCATCAGGACTTATGAGCACAGTAGCGTGAAGCTCTGAGCACAGCACCAGACACATCAGTAAATGGAGCCATCGGGCACGTCCCGTGGAGGTAAGTGGCCACCCACGTCTCTCTTCTCTGACGCCAACCTCCTCCCTGGCCGCCTTTCCCAGGCCAATTAATTCTGTCCTCACTCTATATCTCATCCGCAAACAAGTCTACGTGTGCCACCACCCATCCCCCGTTTCCTCAGCCTCCAGATTGGCACATGAGGGAAATTCTAGAATCTTCACATTCTAACTAGCCATCCAATCCCATCCCCACTGTAATGTGTAAACTTGCCAGGGAGTGTGTAACTCCTACTAGTATACCCCCCGCGACCGAAAACTCACTACCTTCCAGAGCAGTGTGTGGCATCTCTGGAAAGTTCTAGAAAGGTCCATCCCCTGTAGCTTTTGCCCACTGGTGGAAGTCGGTTCAGCTGAGCAGCTGCCCTGTGCCAAGCGCTGGGCTGGGCATTTATTCGCAGCAGTTGCCAGGACAGAAGTAGCCTCTGCTTCCATGTTGTTCACAGTGTAGAGCAGAAAGCAGCTCAAAGCAACCCCAAACGCTGCAGACAGTCATGAGAGACGGTAACGGAGGAGGCTGAGGCTATAGAAACAGAAAACTAGGTCTTTCATTAGTCCAGTAAAGAGATGGGGAAGAATATTCTAAGCAGAGGGGACAGCAGAGAAAAGGGCCCAGGAGTGAGGGAACCTGATACATCCAAGGAAGGGCGAGAATTTCCGACTGAGTAGCCTCTGAGGAAGGGCCACGAGAGTAATTCAGGAGAGGTGAGCCGGGTCGAATCTTCCCAGACCAACTAGGCCTGGTAAGTTGGTAAACGTGGCTGTGGGCCCCAGGAGCCCGTGAGGATTGTCAGTGGACTAGTGACCGGATGCAGCAGACTGTGTTTAGAAAGAAATCTGAGCGCAGGAGGGTGGCACACGGGGAGCAACCGTGGCAGCTGGAGAGGAGGTGGGGTGACTCCTGGCCATGGATGGGGGTGCAGGGACCAGGGCAATGGCCCAGGGGAGGGGAGCAAGGGCGGCACCGAGTGACGGGCTATAAGCAAGCAGTGTGGGCTACACTCAGCCCAGGAGGTGATTGATTTCCAACTCGCCAGTCGCTGCCACCAGAGCAAGGTTCCTCGCTGCTGCACAGATGGGCCTCAGCCTCCACTCCCCAGCAGCAATTCCCACAAAGGCTGCACCCCCTACCTCCCTGCACGTGGGCCTGGAGCTGCCCTCGGTGACAGTGACAAGGTCTCTCTCCATCCCCTAATTCCGGCATTGCTTCCCAGGCTTTCCAGGTGGAGCTGGCAACTTTGATTGAAAGGATTAGAGGTTGCACAAACAGCTCTGGGTGCTGTTGGCTTGGCCTTCTGGAACCCTTTGGGAAAGGAGCCGGCCGATTCAGGCCTAGTAACTAACAGAGTTTCAGCCTTGTTTTCTGCACAGCAGACCAGATGCCATTCCTCCTGGACCAGGGGTCCACAGGATTGGGCCCTGGTTTTACCCTTGGGACTCTGGTGTGAACCTCGGTGTCCTCATCTGTAAAATGGGATCTCCGGAGTTCCTTCCAGCGTGAATGACCCTACAAACTCTCACCTAAGGGAAAGCCAGATGGCTCCTGGATTCCACATCCCCACTCCCTGCCTGGGCCCCAGCAAGTCTTGAAGGGCGGTTGGAGCTCTAAGGGGGTGCAGGACTGCCCCAAACCCCACAAGCTGACCCTGCACTCAGCCGTGTTCCCCCTACCCTCCACCCCGCACCCCATCCCGGCCTGATCTATGGCTCTGGGGAATCAGAGCGCGGCTCGCAAAATGCTGCCGTCCCAGACCTGCTGCCACACTCTGAACATCCAGGAAATGGACCGTGATTCACGTAATATCCCCTTTTAACGGTCTGCGGCATCAAAGACAGAAGGGAAAATCCCGTAGTGGGCGATGGATTAACAGCTCCTTTCCTGGTGTTGTCCAGTCTTCCAGTTAGATGAACTGGGGTGGCCGTGAAGGGCTGGGAGCAGCAAAGAGACTAGTTGGTTCTGAAGTTAGTCATCGGTTTCCATGAAAGCTTCCGGGGTTTTCCTTTTTCTATGGTATCTGTCAATATGCAGGAATGTCTTAGCCTTTTGATCAGATTCAGCTCATTTTCCTTTCCTGGACTCCTTCAAAGTCTACCAGGAGATCACCTTCACACCCTCAGTGCTGCCTGGGCCCAGAATTAATAACCCTCCGTGAAAGAGAAAATCTCTGATGACTGACATCTGGGGCATGTTAAAGGGGCACCGTTAAGTCTCTTAAAATTATGGCTCTTGTGAAGATTCTGGGGCCAGAAGGGAACCCAAAGGCCACCTGCTCCTGGTCCAGAGAGCAGAGCACGCTCACTCGCCACCCGAAGGTCAGAGTGGATCAGGGACCAGAGCCCAAGAGATGTTACCGCCCCCCAAGTGCACTCTTCCTTGGACACCACCACCCTCAAGACCGGACGACCCTTCCAGGTCAAGTCCCTCACAGTGGGGTGCTGGCAAGTGCATAACAACCCACTGGCTGGAGGGTCATTGATTTGTAGCATTTGCCGACTTCTCTGGCGTAAATACTCCCACCATGGCCAACCTCAAGGTACCAGCATGAGGTCCCTGGAACAGGGCTGGGAAGAGATGCTAGTAGCTCACCATTACATGGTAATTTCACATGCAGATACAAGAGACGTAAATAACCTCAAATGCATAGATCAGAGTAAAATAATTAGCAGATGATGTTTTGACTATTATTACCTTTAAATAGAATTTAATCATGTTTTTAATTTAATTTAATTTAATTTAATTTAATTTAATTAATTCTTAATAATGACCGCTGCTCAATAGTCAGCTCTCAAAGTTCCTGAAACTTGACAGTGGCTCTCACGAGGCAGTACGGGTTTGCTCCAGCACACCACTGATCCCACAGCTGAAAGCCAGCGGCTATATGTCACTTTTATTAGTCTGGCCCCTGACTAGCGGCTGACTTCCTGGCCCCTGATAGGCTCAGCTATAGACAGGCACTGGCTGGAAGGAAGAGCATCTTTCTCCAGCCCAGTTGTTGGCAGAATCTTTTTTTTCTCATTAATTAACCTAATTGCTCAGCTCAAATGCTATAATCTTTTTTGTTCCCTCCCCCAATGAGATCTGGTCCCTGAACTCTATGTTCAGCTCCCTGCAGAAAGGGAGATTTGGGCACTAACCACTCATTTTTAAGGCATAAGTGGCTTCTTCCATCTGATAAGCTCCAGGGTGGTCTCTTGTCAAAAAATATCTCCATCCCACTGACCTAAGAGAACATGAGGTCGCTAGGTAGCACCTCCAGCTTAGACTCTCTTTGCATGGGGGTGAAAAGAGAACCGTGAGGTACCTCCCTTGGGATGAGGAAGGGTCTGGAGGATGGAGTGGGGCGGAGTCCCCTGATCCAAGACGGCCTCCGGTGAGTCTAGCCTCCTGGTAGTGACGCCCTGTGCAGTTCCCTCCCACTCTGAATCGTGTGGAATAGGCATTATGAAAACGGCAGAGGAGGACTTCTGAGACCATGTCAGAGAACGCATCGTGCTTCTGCCTTGCTTTTCCTTGGATCACGCTCTCTGGGAGAAGCCAGCCACCACATCGTAAGGACATTCAAGCAGCCCTATGGAGACGTCCATATAGCGAAGGACTGAAGCTTCCTGCCAACAGCTGGCACTGCCTTGCCAGCAATGTGAGTGGATCCCCCAGCAGCATCCCTCAGTGTCCCACACCACATGAAGCTTTGGGGAGGTAAATACAAAATAAGTCAAAGACCCTGCCCTCGAGAGGATGACTCCACAGGGCTTATGTCAGTTAGGAGTACAATAGTTTAAACAAGATAGACTTTTATGTCTCATAAGTAAATAAGGTCAGAGATGGACAACTAGATCTATCATGACACTCTACAAGGTCAGTGGCCCAGGCTCCTTCTCTCTTGTTACTCTGCCATCGTCAGCATGAGATGTCTACCTCTTGGTCCAAGATGGCTGCCTGAGCTCCAACCATTATGTCTCCTTTTGTCCAGAAGGAAGGAAGAGGGGAAGAAGAAGGGTACACCCTCTTCCATCAGCAATAGCTAGCAGACGTTGCACACATCACTTCTGCTTCTCTCCCACAGGCCAGAACTTAAGTCATAGGGCCAGTTTTCCCCCGGGCAGTATTTGTGCCCAGGTAAAATGCAGGGATTCTAGTATTAAGAAAGGAGGGAATGGGTACTGGTGGGCAACAAACAATTTCTTTCCTGGGTGGAGGCCTCACAGTTCTTCAACCAAGAGATACTCCTACCTGATGGTTTCTTTGGTACTCTTGGCAGTTGGCTAAAGAGGCAGCGTTCTTTCCAAACCCTTCATCTAAAGCATAGCCCACCCTTGTTCTCTGCCTAGCACCCTGTTTATGGGTTACTTCTTAATTATCTGTCTCTTCCACTGAATCTTAGAGTCTATGAGGGCAGGGGCCTTGCCTTTCTGGTCTTCCTTTGAATTCCCAAATCCTGAATATTTGCTGAGTGAATGAATGGGCCAAGTACAGACCCTTCCACGCGTCCCTGAGTCAATAATAGGTTCACACAGGTGCCTAACCCTAATAGTGGATTAGGAAACCACTATTGAAACATTTGCATGCCTATGGCCTAAGCTGAGACAATTTCTGAGGCACCTGCAAACCCCTTACCCAGAGCCGTGTGCAAAAATGCAGTGCCCACTTCATATTTGCTTTGGCTCAAACACATTCCCTGATTCCGAGGAACCACTGTATCTTGTCAGCTACATAAAAAAATAAATAAATAATAAGCTGGACATTCTAATGAAAAAAATGAAACAACGCAGAAAAGACAACGGTTTTCAGAGCTCTTTAACTTGACCAGGAAGCCCCAGTCTCTGCCTACACAATACCAGAACCCCAGGTGAGACATGCAAAGTCTAATCAGTCATGTCAAACAACTGTCTGAGGGTTTTTTGTTTTTGGCAAACGGACTTAGAGGTCAGGGAGACACAGACAACTCAGAGGTTTCTAAAGAGTTGCGAATATAAACCACATTT